TATTTAATATTTTCCGCTTTATATACGATTTTGAAATGATATTGGTAACATCTCAATATTTAAATCAATAAAATTTGGAGCGTTAGAGGTGTCCTCCCTGGTTTTGCATGTTCGCTAGTAGCTCTTGCATGGCATGTTCTAATGGGTGATAGTTTTCATGTTAGCGGCCACTCCCTAGTGAGTCTGGCTGCTATCCTTGATCCGCCTCGCCAATGCTGCTGATGGGGTCGAGGACTAACTGTTGGAACGAAATGCGAGGGTTCTCCTTCTTCAGGGGGTTCTCGGCTCTCCGAGGTGCCGATTCTCTATTATTGGATCTAATGATAACGTTGGCTTTTCTTCTGAATCAAATAATTCTCCTTTCTCAGGGAACATACCAAGTTTCAATAAACGATTTTCCTTGGGTTTTTCGAGAGTTCTTTCTCCAAGTACAAACCCTTTTTCTTCCTATGACTTTTTCCACATGTTTTTAATGGCGGAATGTATCACTTCCCACAGACAGCGCCAATATATTGATTTTTGTAATGATTACGTGGACAACAGATGCCAAACCCATTCTCGCCTTCACAAGCAAATTTTTGCACATTTTGACTAGATATTCGGGTGGGTTAGGATGATTTTTATGGACGTGCGTGATGTTTTACGGTACGAGATAGAATTGTTCAAGCATCGACAATTCGATTTAAGACTGTAAACATGAACAATACACTCATCAACTCAAACAAAACAAAAGTAATTTGACTCAAGCAAATAAAATATGAAGTAAGCCTAAAAAGGGAAGATTTAGTGTGTATAATTTGTGAGCTTTTATCGAGTTTTGGCCAAAATGGTAGCCGTTGGGTAACAAACACGTGACCTCATCTTCCAGGTTGAAACTTCACATCAGTCAGTTTGCTATGCATTTAATACATTGACAACGGGTCAGGCACTCTATACCCTAAGCTGACAATTTTGATATTCATCATTACAAACATTACATCAATTATTCCTAAAAATTGCCTACGGATCCTCCAAAGGACGACAAGAACTTCAGCTTCGGGAAACTTCGTATTGGAAGTCTTCGATGCGAGGGACTTCGACTTCTTCGAGGACTTCGGCAAAAAAGGGAGGGGGGTGCTTCGTTCTTTGACCTCTTTATTTTAATCAATTGAGTCATCCTTGACTTGACCAGGTACAACAACATGTCCACGTGGACA